AATTGATTATATACTAGACAATAAAGGAAGTCTCTAAGTATTTCAAAAGATTGGTTATAGCAATCTTATTTTTTGACAGTATGATTGACTTAGATATCAATAAAAAAATACTGCTAGAAAACCTACATGTTTATAAAAAACATACTACCAAGTAGCTTACAAGTCAATGAAAAATAAAAATTAGAAATATTTGCCGGGCGCGGTGGCTCAAGCCTGTAATCCCAGCACTTTGGGAGGCCGAGGCGGGTGGATCACGAGGTCAAGAGATCGAGACCATCCTGGTCAACATGGTGAAACCCCGTCTCTACTAAAAATACAAAAAATTAGCTGGGCATGGTGGCGCGTGCCTGTAATCCCAGCTGCTGGGGAGGCTGAGGCAGGAGAATTGCTTGAACCCAGGAGGCGGAGGTTGCGGTGAGCCGAGATCGCGCCATTGCACTCCAGTGTGGGTAACAAGAGCGAAACTCCGTCTCAAAAAAAAAAAAAAAAAAAAAAAAAAAAAAAAAAAAAAAAAAAAAAAAAAAAATTAGAAATATTTAGAGTGAATGAAAAAGTTTAATATCCCAACTTGAGACAGAACAAGTCGAAATTTATGGCCTAAAATGATCTTAACAGGAGAGGCTGAAAACTACTGAATTTAAAAACCTATGGACTTATTTCAGGGGAAATTAAAGAAGAGAGCAGGAAAAAAAAAAGATACAATTTATAAATACTACAAATAAAAAAGTAAAGGACTCTTAATAATTTTTATAACTTCTATAACATAGGAAATATATTACAAAAAAATATATAGTTTACATAAACTGCCTTAACAGAAATAGAAAACATGAACAGTCAGATTAAAACCTTTTCAGAAAAAATCTCCACCCAGGCCCAGACACTTTTATGAGTAAGATCTACCATGTATCTCAGAATAATTCCAATCTTCAACTATTACAGAGAATAAAGATGAAACCAGCGCCAACTAATTTTGTGAGTATCATAACCTTACATTAAAAACTGGCAAGGAAAAAGAGCGGGGGGGGGGAGGAAATTACAGGCTATGAACACAGATAAAAAAAATTCTAAACAAAACACTAGCAAACCTTTATTTATAATGGTCAAAAATTGGGAAAACCCAAACATAACTGGGAAATGGATAAACTATAGTATGATGGGATACTCAACAATAAAAAAGAATTACTGACAAAAAAACTATATGAATACATTTCAAACACATTATGCTAAATGAAATAAGCTATAATCAAAAGGCAACATAGGCCAGGTGTGGTGGCTCACACCTGTAATCCCAGCACTTTGGGAGGCCGAGGCAGGTGAATTACCTGAGGTCAGGAGTTCGAGACCAGCCTGGCCAACACGATGAAACCCCATCTCTACTAAAAATACAAAAAATTAGCTGAGCATGGTGGTGTGCACCTGTAATCCCAGCTACTCAGGAGGCTGATGCCGGAGAATTGCTTGAACCTAGGAGGCAGAGGTTGCAGTAAGCAGAGATCATGCCACTGCACTCCAGCTTGGGCAACAAGAGCAAAACTCTGTCTCAAAAAAAAAGGCAATATACTACATGACTCCATTAATGTGACATTATGGAAAGGCCAAAGTATAGGGAAAGATCAGTGGTTACCAGGTGAACTAAGGGCTGAGGGAGGGGTTAACTACAAAGATACTTGGAGAAACTATTTGAAGTAGATGAAACTATTCCGCATCTTAATGGTGGCTGGTGATGGTTACCCAACTGTCTGCATTTGTCAAAACCTGAAAAACTATAAACTTATACATTTATAATGTTTAAAGGTAAATTTTACTGTATATAAATTATATCTTAATAATAAAAAGAAAAAACAAGCCAAATCCATGATTTTAAAATGGTATATCATAAACTATATTTAACCCAAGCATGCTAGGCTGGTTTAATACTAGAAATAAATTACATAATTCATTATACTAACAAATTAAAATAAATTAGATGCTCATTCAGCAATGAAGAAAAAAGATTTTGTAAACTTCAACATCCATTTATGCTGAAAATTTCAAACTAAGAACCAGGGTAAAACCCTCCTTTATCTAACAAGGGATACCTACAAAAAACTTAACATCATATTTAATGGAAAACGTCAAAACCATTTAAATCAGGAAACAAAGGTGTCCACTATTATCACTTACATATAACTTTCTATTATAGAGGCCAGCATGTCAGGCAAAAAAAATAAAGAAATAAAAACTAAAAGCAAACAAAATTAGTCATTATTAAATAATAATGAACGTCTACATAGAAAGTAGAAAATAATTTACAGATAATTAGATTCATTTCAATGAAATACACTACTAAAACAAGTAGTTACTCCTTTAGATAAAGAAGAGTCATTATTAACTTAAGTATTTAATTTCATTACCTTGACTAGAATCTGCAGTGTCAGATTTCAGGGAAAGCTGTTTTGTTCCATCTTTAACTTTTTTCAACCGGTTCTTATCTCCTGGTAAAGTCAATTTTTGCCTGAGTGGTTTTAACTCAAATGCCTGAAAAGTTTTGACTTGTGTTTTCTCCTCAGGAGCTACTTCTTTACTTGAATCCTTTGTAATACTGACATTATCAGTGCTAGTTTGGTCCTCAAAGTTCAATGTTTTAGGATCTTCCTGCACATTCTCTTCTTTGCTACTCAAAGCTAGTTTTTCATCTTTATTGATGCATTCTAGTTCCAACTGTATTTGCTTATACTTCAAAAGCAAATCTTCAAAAGTTTCTTCCACACAGTTTTCATTTTTTGATGAATAATTTTTTCTTGATGGAGACCTTCCGAAACTTTTAGCTGAACAGCATATTAAGGAAACCAGTGTCCAAAAATTTTCCAGTTAAATTTAACAAAAAAAATTAGATGTTAATTTTCTCCCATTTTAATTTTTCAAGAAAGATAAACCGGTATTTTAAAATTCCTAAATTTCATTTAATGTATGTGCAGCTAATGCCCACTTGCATTATGTGCCCATATTTGAATTTAACAAGTATCATATAAATACTCCACTTACAAAATCACTAGTGTCGTAATTACCAGTAGTATCCACAGGTAGTCCACCTAGTTAGATAGGTTACAGCATCCTTCCTTCTGTAAGTTCCAGGAAAGTCCATCATTAGCTGGATGTTAAAGATTCTTTTCTTAAGGAAGAGGGGAGAAACTGAATGGTTTGTCACAAATGTGGACAACTTACATTTCAGGGGGCCAGGTACGGTGGTTTACACCTGTAATCACAGCACTTTGGGAGGCCAAGGTAGGTGGATCACTTGCGGTCAGAAGTTCGAGAACTGCCTGGCCAACTGGTGAAACCCTGTGTCTACTAAAAATACAAAAATTAGCCAGGCGTGGTGGCACGGGCCTGTAGTCCCAGCTACTGAGGAGGCTGGGGCAGGAGAATCACTTGAACCTGGGTGGAGGCTGCAGTGAGCCGAGATCACAACACTGCATTCCAGCCTGGGCGACAGAACGAGACTCTGACTCAAAAAAA